TTCTAAGGTTTATGGTCTGAAAGCAACAAGTTTCTTGCATTATGAGCAGTAACAATGATTGGTCCATAAATCATAACATCTCACCATTTCCTCCAGGAAAATGCATTGTCTTATCTACAGAACCCCATGCAAGGCTGTATTGTCAAGTGCTTTTGTTTTCTCTACTGCTTAGCAAGATGCTTTACCAAGCACAAGTTGTTTAGTGTTCCAGATGTCAGCACAAATAGATTGAACAGAAGCCTTTTTGTTTATAGGGAATAAAGCATGCCTACCAAAGCCAAAAAGAAATGGCTTGTTGATGCTATTATCTGTATACTTACAGCAATACTGGGTTGCTGTTGTTTTTAAACTCCACATACAATGAGACTATGGAAGCTCTTAGCACACTAATTATTTTAAAAGCTCATGAAAACTGCAGTTTCCTGGGTGACTTGCTTTTATTGTAGGAAATTGGCAATTACTTTGACTATACCAAGTATCTGATGCCCACCTATTAAAGTGGTAAATGAATAAACTAATCAGAAGAATTTAAGTCAACAAATTTTGGTTGAGAAGCTACTGAATTTAAGCAACAGAGGGGATAGGTCATGTTCTATGGACATAAAGACAGAAATTTGTAAAAGAAAACAAAAACCTCTGTCCATTGAGTATTCTTATTCTTGGGCAATATTCTAAAATTTCTGGGTAATTTATAGAGAAACTATTGAGCAGAAAATACTATTCATGTATACAAATCTGCCTCCCCAGAGCTTGATCCTATGAATTGTACATCCAAATGCATTAAGCTTTTGCTGGACTGTAAATGGGAACAGAAATTTGGGGCAGGAAGAAAGAAGTCATCCAGAGTGATTTCAGTCTATGGATTTGGAACATGATAATCAAAATTATTAATTCTGATATTCTGAAATGTCTGGTTTTATAGAGGTTTTAATAAGAGGAGTAGTTAGTATCCTCATTAGGGTTTGGAGATAATTGAGTTAAGGACACTAGACTATATAAAGAGCTCTGCACTTGTGGATAAATTGCAACCACCAAGGTATAAGGTTCTAGTAGCTTCTTTCTCCTCTGGTTAGTCTGCTATAAAATGAGGAACAGTATTAATTATACACCATCTATGAAATGTAACATAAAGGATCTTCGATTTTCTTTCTAGTATAACATCCTTTATTTTTAAAGTTGTTATAGGAATATCTTGATTTCATACTTCTCTACCTTCAGATTATGAGACTGATGTGTGGCCTACTGCACTAAGAAGGCTGGAGCGATAGCACGGTGGTAGGGCGTTTGCCTTGTGCACAGTCGGCCTGGCCGAGCCTGGTTCAATTCCCCTGCCCCTCTCGGAGAGCCTGGCAAGCTACCAAGAATCTTGCCCACATGGCAAAGCCTGGCAAACTCCCTGTGACATATTCAATATACCAAATACAGTAACAACAAGTCTCACGATGGAGACTGGGCCTGCTCGAGCAAATCGATGAACAACGGGAGGACAGTGTTATCTCTAAACAGTGCTATACTTCTCAAACAATAACTAGCTGCATGATCTTGGAAAAGTCACTTAAAGTACTGACATCTTTCTTTCTACCTTTAATACACATTGATAAATGGATGAAGAATATCTGAAATCCCAATTCATCCTAAGAATCCATAAATCACATCCACTACCATAAATTGTCTACCTATAATTTTCAACTTCACAAGTTAATTTATCAGCAACACAGCAATCTGCTATTCTTAACTCAGGACATTTTTTTTTTTATTAGTGAAGCACCATGAGGTACAGTTGTAGATTTACAAATCTTTGTGCTTTAGTTTCGGTCATACAATGATCAAATATCCATCCCTCCACCAGTGCCCATTTCCCCCCACCTCCCCTCCCACCCTGCCTCTGTGGCAGGGCATTCCCCTTTGTTCTCTCTCTCCTTTTGGGTGTTGTGGTCTGCAAAAGAGGCATTGAGTGGCAATCATGTTCAACATGCATTTCCCCTCCTGGGAGGATAACTCAGGACATTTTTTGATGAAGAACAAAGCAGAGCACAAATCACATGAAGAGAAGATAAAGCATTAAATCTTTTCAGTCCTAATTATACTAAAATCTAAAATCCAGAAACTGGCTATGAATTTAGCAAATTTAGCAAATAGTTAATGATTTTTTTTCTTTTTTGGGTCGTGCCCAGCAATGCGCAGGGGTTACTCCTGGCTCATGCACTCAGGAATATTGCACTCAGGAATATTCCTAGTGGTGCTCAGGGGACCATATGGGATTCTGGGAATTGAACCCGGGTTGGCCATGTGCAAGGCAAATGCCCTACCCACAGTGCAATTGCTCCAGCCCCAGTTGTTGAATATTTAAAGAGAATACAGTTGGAAAAAAGTAAGATCTAGAAAATAACTTTTGTAGATGATTTTTCCTTTCCTCATAGTATCTAGTTCTGTGCCCACCAGGCTTTTCCAGTGTCTCAGCTCCTTCCTTTCAACCAATTAAAAGTAGCCCATCACATGACTCTGTTCTTTTACAAATGTTTTCTATCTCCAAATGCCTTCCAGGATAAATGCAAACTCTATCAGAATACTCAGTATGCATTTCACGATGCAATTTTACTATTCTTCATTGAAGTTGAAGTTCCATTGAATCATAATCCACTCAGGTATAAAATAGATATCTCATTAAAAACAGGAACTTTAATATTTATTGATTTTAATATATCATTGGACTATTATAAACCCTCTTCATCTTTTCATTATGATGCAATGAACACTCTAGGATCAGAAGAAACTGAGTCACAAAGAGGCTAGACAACTTGCTCTACATTATTTAGTTAATGTTTGGAAGAGCTAAAATTCAAATTTGGGTTTTCTAATTCCACTACACCAGTAATGACTGCTCTCAAGAAGGTCTAAGTTAGGAAACTGGCTTGACTTCAAAAAAAAGGGGGGGGGGGTGATGGAGCCAGATATGATTAATGGAAGAAGAAATAATATGTACTATAATACTATATAAGCACAAACTTTGATAGTATATGTCCTCCCTGTCCTGCATTAAAGCTTGAGTAACCCCATTTGAATAATATATTGTATTATGTGTATATGTTATCTTAGGTTTGGGGTTTTTGTTTGGTTGGTGATTTTCTTTTTCAGTTTAAAAAAAATGCCAACATTGCTTATTCTGGGACTTCATAGTGAGTTCTGCTTGCTAAGGTAGAGGAATTTACCCTGATTATATAAATAGAGTAACAAGAGACCTGCTTAATGAAGCTGACTATAAAATTAGCAAGATCTCTTCTTTTTGTTCTCTACTCAAAATACATTTAACATACCACCTGTCAACTCTTATCTCCAAAGAACATTAAAGAGTTCAAGAAATCTGGGGAAAAGTACTACTGAGAGCAAAACAACTTCGTAGATAAAAATAGACGGCCAGGTCTTAGTAACTCTCTACTGGAACATTCTAGAAGTCTGTGAACTCCATTGCAATTAAACCCCTGGTGTGGATCAAAAGCAGCCCATGATTCAAGGTGGGCATCTACTCTTCTCATAACTATATTACATATTATTTAGAACGAATTATGTTACCTGTTTAGTTTATTGAGAATGGTGTCAATAATTCATGTATTTAAAATTGGATACTGATAATGTATCAAAGGTAAGAGGTGAAAGGAAATGTCACCACTCTTTGTAGAAACTGATTGTATAATCATCTCGAAGAATGTGTGGCATTTAATAGTATTGGCCAATGGGGTGAAGAACGCAGGACAAGGGAGTGCTATGAGCAATTAGAACTTGGGACAAGTTTACATGACCTCTGATCTCTCATTTGAAGCGGTCAGTTTCTTACTCCTGTTACTCTAACTTAGTTTCTTGATTGTCTTTAAAAAGTGACTCATAATAGGTGAACAGAAGTTGCCTTAAATCCATATAAAAATAAAGGTTAAAACATAAAATAGACATAGATAAGATTTTAGACGAAGATAAAAGACTAGAACCAATGGGCGAAAAGGTTACTTTTTTTAATATAAAAAGGTTAAAATAAAAGGCTAAAACCCCTGAGATGAAACATTTAAAATAATCGGGTAAATTTGATCAAGGGCCAAATACAGAAGAGCACTTAAAAATGAAAACAGTGTATTAGGAAAATGAAAAAATAAGAAAGGATATGTAATTTTAATATCAAAAGGCAGGAAGCTGAGAGATTAGGGAACAAAGAAGAGGCAGTAGAGGAAGTAAGGGGAAAATACAGGATAAAAATACTGTAGGAAGCAAATCAGGGAGTGGGATCCGGTTTCAGAGTACTCAAATGGCCAGGGCAATTTGGGAAGGCTTTGGGAACTGAGCTGGGTCTGGAATGTTTAGCATCATGGAGATGGTCAAGGACAGCCTGGCTGATCAGGGTTTCCCAGTGCACAATAATGGTGACCTTTAGGACCAAACAAGTTTCCTTGAAACTTAGCCACAGACCCTCACCAGAGCCTTCCCTGCTTTATCAGTCAGTATCAGTGACTTTGGTCTTCCTTTACTGTTCAGAAAAACAAATTATGTTTCTCCACTTTTTACCATCTACATGACTTAAGGCAAATTTCTTCATCTCTCTGAGCTTTAATATTAATACCTGAGTTGTAAAATTATTGAACCAATGATCACAACACTACTCACAGCAATTCATCCTTGTCTAATTATTAGTAGTTTTCTTATTCCATTTCTACAGAGAGTCTCCGCCAATCATGAAACAATTCCCACAGTCCTCTCAGTCTTCACACTCACCTTTGTGACAGTAACATTTCAGCAGGAGTACCCCAGAGGTCAATAGCATTTCAATAGAAATGCAGGAGAATGCCTCTCATCAATGGTTTTTGTGTTGGTGACTCATTCCTGTGAATCTGACATTTAAAATCACCTACTCAAAGAAGATGGGCGTCAGGAAAGGCAGCACAAGTTAAAGGAAATATAATAAACGTTTCTGAAAAGGATATGGAAAAATTAACGATATGTCCTTCCCAATATTTCAGACTCTACAACATACGCACATTTTCTGTTCAACGCTTTTGATACAGACCACAACGGAGCTGTGAGTTTTGAGGTAAGTCCTAAGTGCTTTTAAAAATATTGCTTGACTTTATGGGGCTGTAGCGATAGCACAGTGGGTACGGCATTTGCCTTGCATGCAGCTGACCTGGGTTCGATTCCCAGCATCCCATATGGTCCCCCAAGCACTGCCAAGAGTAATTCCTGAGTGTAAGAGCCAAGAGGCCAAGAGTAACCCCTGTGCATTGCTGGGTGTGACCCAAAAAGAAAAAAAAAGTGCTTGACTTTAGACCCACTAAAAGGAATTGAACCTTTTTAGTGGGAAATTTTGATTTAGTGGTTTTATAGTTTTTAAAATTTCATTTTCATTTTTCATTTCATCATCCTGTTATTCGTCGATTGCCTCGAGCAGGCCCCAGTAACGGCTCTTTCATCCTAACCCTGAGATTATATTCAAGGCTCTTTAGGAGAATGAGACCCATCATTGTTAATGGTATTTGGCATATTTGGTACGCGATGGGGAGTTTGCCAGACTCTGCCTTGTGGGCAGGCTACATTTGATAGCCTGCAAGTTTGTCCAAAGTAGGAATGAGATAATAAGATGTCATAAAAAGATGTCCTGATAAGATGTCGCGCGGCCGCGCGGTTCCGGGGAGCTGGATTTTATAGTCTCTGAGTCTTGGCCGTTGATGGGATTACAGGGCGCCAGGGGGCCAGGTGGTGGGTGTGACCCCCGCCTACTGGAATTTGGAGGATCTGGGTGGAGGATGCTCGACTCCAATCCGAGTAAGCTTGGAGATCTCGGCCCCGGAACCCTCGTGGATTTGTCCCTCTGCCAGTACCTTCATGTGTGCGGAGAGTGGTCTCAGCATGGTGGTGGCTGGTCCTGGAGGTCTTCGGCTGCCGGAGGCCTGGTCGGGGCGGGGAGGAAAGCTCAACCCGCTCCCCTCCAACGGGCCCCGGCAAGGAACAGCCAGGCGCGGGGGCAGACTGCACTGTTCTCGTCCGGGAGCTGGATTTTATAGTCTCTGAGTCTTGGCCGTTGAGTAACCCCTGTGCGTCGCCAGGTATGACCCAAAAAGAAAAAAAAAATCATTCTTATTATCAAAGGAATACCTGACATAGTATCTTTCCTCACAATTTTTAGGTACACAATGAATTATTGCTGAATGTTGATGTAACACTATATAACACATCTCTAGAATATATTCATTTTAACTGAAACTTTATATTGGCAGCCTCCCATTTGACCTTCCAATCCAAGGTCTGACAACTCCGCTTCTATGCTATCTTTCCAAAACTCTGTGTCTGCCCATGTAAATGTAATTATGCAGTTTTTGTCGTTCTGTGAAAGCTTAATAGCTTAATATCCTGAAGATTTATTCATGTTTTCTAATAATGCAAGTTTTGTTGTTGTTGTTGTTGTTGTTGTTGTTCTGGAGGGCTTGTTTATTTGGGGCCACACCTGGCTGTGCTCAGGGCTTTACTCCTGGTAGGGTCAGGATACAGCATGCCAGGGATTGCACCCTCTACTATCTTTACTCCTGATAGGCTTTACTCCTGATAGGGTCATAGAGGACTGCACCCTCTACTATCTCTCCAGCCCCTTATCATGGTGCTTTTAATCCTTTATTGTTAATCTGATCTATCACATTAATTTATTTTCATATGGTGAGCCATATTTGTATCCAAAAAATAAATTCCACTTCTGAGGCCAGAGCAACAGTACAGCTGGTAGGGCACTTGCCTTGCATATGGCCAACCTTGGTTCGATTTCTGGCAACTCAGATGGTTCCCCGAGCCCCACCAGGAGTAATTCTTGAGTGCAGAGCCAGGAATAAGCCCTGAACACTGCCAGATGTGGCCTAAAAGCAAATAACAGAAACAGGGGAAAAGGATAAATTCCACTTCTTCATGGTAGACGATCCTTTTAATGTGCTTACAAATGTATTTTTTTTTTAGAATTTTTGCTGGCATATTTATCTGGAATATCTAGTTTCCTTTACTTGTGATGGTTTTTTATCTGACTTTCATAGCAGCATAATAAACTCACACATTTGTTTGGAAGTATTCTTTTCTCTTTAAAATTTTGGAGCATTTAGAAAGATTGTGTTAGCTTTTTTTATTATTTGGCAGAATTAGCCAATGAAAGCAATTTAGTCCTGGATTTTTCTTGTTGCAGTTTTTGATTCAATACCCAGATCGTAGATATGTCTAGACATCCTATTTATTCACATTATAGTTTGTAAGTTCTAAATTTCTAAAAATGAATCACTTTTTTCTAGGTTATCCAGCATATTGATAGGAAATTACTTCTAGAAGCCTCTCACAATTTTTCTTTCTTTTCCTATGGCATCAGTTATAATGTCCTCTCTTTGATTACTGCCTTATGTTTTGTTTTAGTCTAGCCTAGGGTTTGTCAGTATTTAAATTTTCAAAACCCTTCTGGAGTGATAGCACAGCGGTATGGCGTTTGCCTTGCATGCGGCTGACCTGGGTTTGATTCCCAGTGATGTCGGTGGGTCCCACGGGTGACTTATGTGAAGCGGGGAGGAGAAGGACAGTCACTCTCTCCCCATCCGCCTCTGCCACTCGGGACCCAGGGTTGCTGGGTTCTTGTCTCGCCTCGCAGAAAGGAATTTCAGGAGTAGACAAGCAGTGAAGTAAATAGATTTTATTTGGAGGATTTTTAGGTATGGAGGGAGGGAGAGAGAGTGAGAGAGTAAAGTTAGACACGAAAGCATGAAAGTATACATCTCAAGAGGGGAGATGCGGGCGACACATGTGCTCGGGAACCACATGTGCTCGGCCACGTGGGCGCAAGCAGCACATGGGCTCAAGCAGCATATGCGTGCACTTCCTTTGTTCAAGGTGGCCTTTATAGGGTTCCTCCAACCTGCCCCCACGTGGGGCTTCTTCCCAGGTAAATGTCCCGTTGCTAAGGAGGTTACCAGGCAGGATGGGAGTGGTGATGGTCTTCTTTGAAATTCCTTTCCTGGCCTTTTGTTCCTAGAGGAGCTTCTTTGGGTCTGTTGCTGGAGCCAGGTGAGGGTCATCTAGCCTTAGTTCCTGTTTTCCTATTTTCTGCAGGGCTGGCTTTTGTCGTTGCCTCGGGAGGGGAGGGGGCCCTCCCTGTCTACCTGCCTACATCAGTATGATTTTTGTACTAAGAAATATATGCTTGATCTTAGTTTCTGGATAAGAGCTCCAAAAAAACCTTAGGTTTTAAGATGTGAGAGCAAGGAAAGTACCTTTTGTCATGTTAATTAGATGACTCTGGGATCTCACCTCTTCTCAAGAAAATAGGTGATAGCCAGGAGAATCTGACCCAAAAAGAACAAAAAAGAGTTTAAAAAAAACCAGGAATTTGCAAGAAATCAAAAAATGTAGGCTGGCCAGTCAAAAAGAGGACTGCTCACTGCAGCTGGCAAGGGTAAACTGAGGCTTCCTCTTTCACTATCAGAGAAGCTTCCCCATGGACTTGCAACAAAGTCTGAAGGATAGGCAGGAGCTGGTCAGAACAATAAACCCACAATAACCGCCAAGCATATTAACATCTATGCTCTTGCAAATTGATGTTATGTTGGTGTGAATCTTCCCTTCGGGCTTAGGAACAGTGAGGAAGAGAGGGTTGGCAGCATCTGAGAAGGAAACATACTACTCACTGTCCCCACCTCTGTCACTGGGGAAGTTCCCAGGAGCCTTTAGGGCTGATGAGAGTCTCCTGTGAGTCCCTGCATGGCAGACACTCGGAGACAACACAGGCCTCTCCAGAAAGGACTGAGGTCCGGGTACCATCTTGGAAATGGTTAAGTCTAGATATTTTCCACCCATTCTTTGTCCCAAATTCTTTCCCAAGTAGAAGTGAATGGGGCTTTCCCAGGGAAATAAAGCCGTGAACTGCAAGTGATCTGTCCCGAGTTCCTGTAAGAACCTGTGCGGTGCCTCCTGGAGCCTCTCAGGCATCCATCTGTGCGTTGGTCTGGAATTCTGCCTCTTGGTGGCTTCCAGGGCTTCTGAGATGAATCTTTTGTCTCAAAGGCCGCCATGCCTTCAGGTAATTTGGGTTTCAGACACTGTTCTCCCCAACACATATTTCCCTGGTCCCCCCACTTTTCCTGCCTGCAAAATTATCACTGGAATAAATGAATGAAGTTAAAGGGAGAATCGGGCATCAGTATAGGAGCAATGGAGTCTGGTGCAGAGACAAGGCAAAGCCCAGAGAAGGCATTTCTTGGCCTGTTCCCCCTCACGGCCGGTGGCTGCCATCCTCCAGAGGCCACTGGACAGTCAGGTTTGGACCCGCAGTGACAAGACACGTGGGGCCTCATGGGATGGGGGTGGAGCCAGCCCTTTCCTCCCCATCCCAACAAGATCCTGAGTCACCGCCCACAAATGACCTCTCTGGCTCTTGATCAAGCTGCTTAACAGCCATGATCCCAGGGACTCAGAAACAAATCTTGAAACCCAGCGGCTTTTGGCAGAAATGCGTCTGGACCTTGCAGTAGATTACTGTCGCTGGGCCATCCCAGAGGGGAAAGGGTGCTGTCCCTCTGCCGGCTCCCCCTAGGTGGCTCGGTGGTCACCATCTGCCAGAGGCTCTGGACAGTCAGGTTTGGGCCTACAGTGATGAGACAAGTGGGTCCTCATGGGATGGGGGTGGAGCCGGCCCTTTCCTCTCCCATCTTGCATTTGCAAAGAGAGTTTGCAAAGAGAAGGCATTTGCAAAGCCCCTTGGAAGTTAGAGAACAAAGGGAAGGCCTTCCCCCAACCCCTCCTCCAACTCACTACCTTCCATTCCAACCCCCCCTTCCCCTCACAGATAGCTGAGTAAGAGGTACATCTAGGGGCTGACACCTCCAAGGAAGGATAATGCACAGGCTAGCTAGACCTTCTTGTAAAAGGTGAGAAGTTGTTGAATTTTTTTCACAGGGAAATCGAGGTATCACAGCTGCTTTCCTAAAAACAAGACAGGGGTCAGCCGCCCTGTTCCAGGAGGCCAGACAGGAGGTGATGAGAAACTAGTTGCTGTGAAAACATTGGCAAGGAAAGGAA